CCTGTGGTCGATGGGCACTGGATGCCCACCACATCGAGGAGACCCGACAGCCCAAGGTGGTGGCGCAGACTCCCTCCAGCCTCCAGGAGCTGGGCCAGGACACCCCACCGTCTGTTTTGTGGCCCAAGACACTGAGGCACAGCCGGGACAGTGACTTGGCTAAAGTTACCAGGGAAGGGGCTTCACCCATCACCACTGAGGCCACACAGAGACACCAGAGCCCCTTACCTGCTTCGAACCTCAGTGCCTGAATCTGTAGGATGGGACAGTCAGAGCCTTCTCAGAAGGCCCGGCGAGCTCCAATCACACGTGTGGGCCGAGCCTGGGCACACAGCAGGTGCTCCCTAAATGCTCGTGCCGAGAATATTCAAAGGGCTTGGACTGCGTGCCTGGCCCTGCATGGTCCCTTGGTGACAGGCAGGCTGAGTGTCCCTGGGATCACTCTGCTTCTTCAGAGGAGCTCTGGGACGTTGCAGGGCCCCTGCAGCAGACGCCACACAGCGTGTAGAGCCCCGGCCCAGTGCTTGGCTGACTGGACGCTCCGGAAACCGAGGGCCCCGCTATTGTTACTGCTGTGTCGTTTTCCTTGTGTTATGGGAAGGTGGGTGGACAGATGAGTGGCAGAGAAGGAGTATAACCGGGGGCTGGGTGCTTCTGCACCCGAGGGACCTGCTGGAGAAGATGCTCCAACAAGGGAAGGCGGCCAGGCAGTGAGGAGTCTGGGGCCCCGGCGGACCCAGGAGCAAAGCAAGAGCCTCACCGCCGTGGGCTTTGCTGCTCAGCCAGGCAGAGCCCGGCCCAGGGCCAAAGCTGGCGCTTCGGTGGCCTCCTCTGTGCAGGGGGTCCAGGGGGCACCTCCCCCAGACACGGCCACCAAGACCCAGCGGACGCTGTGAGTGTCCACTCGGTGAGCGAGTGTGTGCCATCACTGCTGGAATCTGAGACCTCTGCCCTGAACTCAGGGTCAGGGGGCGTTCTTGTCCTCCTGCAAAGGGTGTTTGTGGCAATGGCACTTGAACTTGTCCTAGGGAGAAGGGGCTCCTGTAAGCTGCACCTCTGGACTCCTGGGGCCACCTGTGGGGGAGGTCCTGGGGAGGGCACTGCACGCGGTGGACGCAGGGTCTCCACCCGCAGTTAACTGAGCACCTGCCAGTGCTGAGTACACGTCACCCGGACACGTGTCATCTGGACACACGTTACTTGGTGGAGCCTAACAACAACCTGATATGGGGGTGGAATTACCCCCCAGTTGAGGAAACTGAGGCTCAGAGAGGTAAAGCACCTGTCCTGGTCACGCAGAGGGTAAAGGCAGGACAGGGGCCTGTGGGCTTGGAGGTCCTCTGCCCTGTGTGAGTGGCAGGTGGGCAGGGTCACTGGGGCAGCTGACCCCCGGCCCTTCCCTCCCACCTGCTCCTTCCGGGGCTCCTCCCAGCCTGAGCATCCCGAGTAGGAGGGGCTGGGATCCCCGCAGGACCCTGGGGAGCAGCTCTCAGGCCTCTGCCCCCAGGCCCACCCCCACCCCAGCCGGCAACTCTGGCCACCCTCCCCTGTACGCAGGGCCCCCCGGCCCAGAGGCAGCAGCCCGGAGCCCTACCCCACAGGCCTGGCCCCTCATCCTAGCACCACTGCAGCCCCACCCCAGGCCTAGGGGAGAGCCCTCCTGCCTGGAGTTCCCTGAACCCCCAGCACTCCACCCGGCGGCTCTGCACACTTGGCAAACACAGTGCAGCCACCGGGGAGGGCTGGGCCCCCAGGCCCTGGCAGGAGACCCTGTGCACTTCCACAGCAGGGATTCTTCCTACTCACAGCCACCGCATCCACCTTGGCTGGGGGCCCGCCTCCCTCCTCCTCCTGCCGCTTCCTTGGACCCTCCCCGCACTGACGGTGGGGCTGGGACAGGGGCTGCCCCAGGAGACTGTCTACCTCACAGGCCAAACGCCCTTCTGTCACCTGCCTGCCCAGGGAAGTCACACCACCCCCATGGCACTGTCACCAGGGCCTGGATGGCCCTGGTCCTCCCTGGGGAATGCGGGGCTCCCAGCAGGATGCATCCCTTCCAGCTGTGCCCCCAGCCGCTTGCGCATCCTGCCCACCACGCAGGAGGGTGTCTCCCCCTGCCCATCAGAGAACCGGAGAGGGGCAGCCGGGCGGGGCCCTGGGTGGCTTGGGATGGTTTGGATACAGAGAGGAGCCAGCGTATGGGGGACAGAGGGTGCCCTGGGCCGTTACCAACAGGGCCTCCACACCACAGCATTGGCATACAGAACGGTGCTGGTCTCTCACTCAGACCTGGCGTCCACAGAGCCTCTCCCAGCCCCAGGGGCACGGCAGGCTCCCTGGGGCGGCTCCTTTACGAGCATTGGCCCAGCACACATGCGGCAGCAGGCTCCGGCTCTGATGCGGAAGAACCACCTGACAGACGGGTCTGGGTGGAATTTCAGGCGCGGTGGCTCAGCCCCTCCCTGGCCAACCTCCCCCAGCCCGCAGAGAGCCCGAGCCCACGGCGGGAGGGGGGCGGGTGGGGGGGGGTCCTCACAGTCTTATCTCCCAGAAGCCCCACCGCAAAATAAAGAAGTGTGGAGCCGGCAGAGCAGGGCCACCTGGAGTGCGTACCTGGTCCACGGCGGAGGTGAGGGCACATCCTCAGCGCCAGAGTGAATTCAAGCCCCGACCCCCGCTTCCCACTGGGTGGCCAGGGAGGGTGACTTGATCTCTCTGGGCCTCAGTTTCCCCATCTGGAAAGTGGGCTCCTTGCAACGTCATCAGGGTTAGATGGGTTCAGGAAGTGGGGCCGGGATTATCACTACACCCCGCTCGAGCCCTGGTCTCCCCCAGCCTCTGCAACTCAGCATCTTTTCCCCTAACCTGCCAGGACATCCCTCTGGCTCCCGGCCTCGAGGAGGGGGACCCTCCCAAGCTCCCCTTGTTCCCAGAGCCCTCACCCACCCGACAAAGAGCCTTCATGCAACGCCCCCACTCCCCTGGCCACCGCTCGGGAGTGTCCCAGAAGCCAGGCAGGTCTACAGTGAGTTTGGGGAGCTCCACCTTCCCGCCGCTCACCCCCCCAGCACACCCCATTTGGCCCTGCCCGCCAGCTCCCGTGGCCAGCACAGGACACAGGATTGTGCTCTGTCCTCTTGCTGGTCCCAGCCTCGCATCTGGAAGTCGAGGCTTCCCCAGTACTCTGACCTTGACCTGGGGTTCGAGGACCCAGTCGAAAGCCAGGCTCCACTGTCAAGTCTCCCCTCAGGCAGCTCGCCCTGGCCCCTGGCTTCTCGTGGGATCACAGGGCCTGCTCACCTCAGTTACTGATCCCACCCCCCAGGGCGCCCGCCACCCCAACTTCTGAGACCCCAGAGCAGTCGTCCGTCTTCTGCACTCCCGGTGAGTGAACCCCACAGTGGCACCCCCGACTCTGCGGTGTCGGAACCATAATGGCATGGGACGTCACCGCTCCTGCCACCGCAGGACACTCGCCAGCAGACATTTGAGGGTCTCCAGTTTGGAGACTGTTGCTGCAAACACTCCAGTCTTGGGGCAAACTTTGAAATGCAAGCGAGACCACGCCCCTCCTTCAGTGTGCCCCCGGGGGAATCAGGCATGGCCTCCTGCAGGGAGCTTTGAGCAGAGGTCCCCAGGGCTTGTGCGGAGAGCGCCTCCTGGGGAGAGGCATGGAAGCTGGGGTGGCCAGTGCAGAGCCGGCAGTGCACCAGCAGTGGGGTGGTGGCTTGGGCCAGGCGGGCAGGTTCCGGAAGTCTACAGAAGGCAAACCAAGAACCGCTGCTGACAGATCAGGGTAGGGTGCCAGCAGATGAGTCGGGAGTGCCAGGACCCCAGACGCTCATTTTCAGGGTCAGCTGACCCCCAGGGCTCCTCAGGATGAGTTCAAGGAGGGAACAGAGGGGCCGCTGATGGCGGGGGTCTTTGCTGGTGGCATCTGCGCTGATCTGGCTCTGTGAGCTGTGCGTCTGACTCCCAGCTCTGTGACAGATGGTGACACAGAGCTGGACAGTGGCGGGCAATGGTGGCCTCGGTACCCACCACCAGAGGTCTGCCACAAGGACTGAGGGGCTCTCACCTGGTGGAGGGTGGTGCCTGGCACCATGGTGAGGAAGCTGTCGCTGGGCTGAGCCCCGGCCTCACACCCAGCTCCGAGGAGCTGGACCCCATGGGACCCCGCAGGATACTCACCAGTGCCCGTGGCACTAGACAGGCACCGTGGCCCCTGCCAGAAGGGAGAAAGGGAGAAAGCGCGGCTCAGAGGGGCCAGAGCTCACGGTGGTCACACGGCGGGCAAAGTTTGTCCAGCTCCCAGCTTAGGCTCTCAACCCCACACTCTCAATTTTTAGCAAACACTTCATGGAGGTGAAACACAGGCAGGAAAAAGGGCCCAGGCCACAAAGGGTGGCTGGGTAGACTTCCACCTATGCACAGTCACCAGCTCCTGCAGGGGAAACAACCAGCCGGCCCCCAAAGCCCCCGCCATGGCCCCACGGGGCCATCCATGCCACTGCGGGCACCTGGACCCTACTGAGTGGGCTGTCCCACTGGATGAATGCGCCCTGGCTGACTGATCCGCTGGCTGCGGGCAGGCATGGGCATCTCCAGTCTGGGGCCTCGTCAACACGCGTCGCATGCACCGTTGTGGCCCCAGCACCAAGCGGGGACTGGCGCCTTCAGGCATCTGCTTTGCTGTGAGGGCTGGATTAGGGAGTCGAGATTAAGTGAGAATGTCCCATCCCTCTATGTGCCCCTCAGGTATGGACATGGCCCAGTGGGTGGTCACAAGACAGGACTCCCACACCCCCTGGGACTGGCACCCACCTCCTCTCCAGGCTACTGCTGGACCCTACATCCCACAGGCCCTTCCGGAGCTAATGTGACCGTCTCCGCACTTTCTGCTCCATAGGCTGGAAACGGAGGGGCAGTAGAGGCCAAGGGGCCACCCCTACACCTGGAGCACAGAGGGGCCTGGGCCAGGGCCAGGGCCACGGGAAGCCATGGAGAGCTTCATGGAGTCGCTAAACAGGCTGAAGGACGTCCATGAGAATGAGATCACGGGTGAGCGTCTTGGGATGGACAAACCCTCACCCGGACAGCAGTCTAAGGGCCAAAGCCAGGCCGGGGGGCTCCCACACATTGCCTCCAAATCTCGCCAAACCTGGGGACCTTGCCTTCCAGACCCAGAAGGGGAGTCCAGACCCAGAGCCCAGAGCTGCAAGTGGTCAGGATCCCAGCCTCAGACCAGCCCCTCTGATCGCAGCCCTGGAGGGGTGGTCCCTGAATGGTCAGCTAGCATCAGAGCAAAAATAAAAAGCCAGCCTGGTCACAGAGAGCCGAGAAGCTCTGGCCAAGACCGGCCCCTTTCCCAAGGTGGGGACCTCAATGTCCCCCAAAAGGGAGGTCACCTACTAGCAATGGGATCTCAAGGCTCCAAAGGCCTGTGTAGAGCTTTCCAGGGCGCTGAGCTGAAATCCCTCTGCTCCCCTCCAGGACACCCAGGCTGAGGTCTGCCCGGCCGACACATCTGTCCGATTTTCCCGCCGGCAACAGGGCTGCAGCCACACCACTCCCTTCACTCCAGTGCCCGGGCCCCACCCTCCTGAGACCTTTCTCAGAGTACTCACACACACCCTGAAGCCCGAAAGGGCCTGGGTCACCTCCCCCAGAGACCCAGAGGGGCAGAGGCTGCTTGGGCTATGGCCTAGGGCCCAAGCCAGACCGCAATGAGGAGGGGAAGAGGGGGCTGCTGGGGTCTCCCCCAAGGGCCCATTTGATTTCAACTCTGGCAGCACCCAAAAAACATTCCTCTTGGGACTTGGCCAGGTAGCTGGTCACTCCCAGCATCAGGGTCCCTCCCCATCTCCAGACAGACACCAGAGCCAGAGACCCCAGGGAGGGGAGAGGCTGGGTCTGGACCGGGTCCCAGGCAGCCAGGAGAGGGGGCGGAAGCTGTCAGCAGGTGCAGACTGGGAGCCCGCTGAGGGGGCGACCTCAGGGAGTCAGTGAGGGGACCCAGGCGGCAGGCGTCTGGAGAGGGCCCTGCCAGACAACCAGGGACAGGAAACGCCCCAGCTCTGCTGCAGGGGTGGCAGCACGGCAGGGCCTGACCCTCTGCTCCTTTCCTCTCTCCTCCAGGCCTGCAGAACAAACTTCTGGAACTGAACTCAGAGAGGTGCCGGTGAGTGAGGACAGGCCCTGGGCCAGCAGATGGGAAGGGCAGCGGCTCCCCAGCCGCTCACGCGCACGCCCGCAGCCCCAGGGCCCCGGAACTGCCACAGGCTGTGATGCAGAAGCAGACACTGAGGCTCGGCTTGGCGGGTGGGGGAGTCTCTGGTCCAAGGTCCAGGCCCCTCCCCCAGTGAACAGGGACCCTCCAGGGGGCTGGGCAAGCCGCGTCCATGCAGGGCGCCTCCGGGACCAATCATTATCAACAGGAGGACTCATCGTGAGTCCGGGAGACCCGCGGGCCGGCCCCCCAGGTCCCTATTGCACAGATGAGGCTGCAGGTGGCACATGGATGAGACAGGGTCCCCAGGGAGGCCGCGAACACTCTCGCTTGGGCGTGCTGGCATTGCCCTTGCGAGGCCCCACTTCTCAAGGCAGTCCCAGGCCACGGGAGAGGCTGGCGGGGCAGCGCGGGGGGGCCCCGCAGAGCAGCATGCGCACCGCGGCCCGTCCCCCACCTCCCCCCCGCAGGGACGCCCAGAGGGCGGAGGAGCTTTGTGCCAAGAACCGTCAGCTCAGGGAGCAGCAGAGGGCGCTGAAGGAGAACCTGCGGGCGCTGGAGAACAGGTGAGGGCACCTAACACCACGCTTGCGATGGGGGCAGGGCGCACAGGGAAGCGGAGGAGGGTTCTGCGGAGAACGAGTCTGGGAAGCTCCGGCATAAACTAAACCACCGCAGGACGCCTCAGAGCCTTAAGTAAATTGCGTTTTCAAGGTTCCTTCCCAAGCTCAACGGCACATGGAGCGCTTAGCCCCCAGGGTAGGGGTGAGGCAGGGCTTCCACGGAACACACTTTGGGAAAGGCAGGGCTCGTCCAGGGAGGGGGGCAGTGCAGGTCCCAGGCTCCCCGCTCAGAGCGGCCTCTCGCCCCCTCGCCCTCGCAGGCTGCGGGCCGGCCTGTGCGACCGCTGCATGGTCACCCAGGAGCTGGCCAGGAAGAAGCAGCAGGAGTTCGAGAGCTCCCTGCTCCAGAGCCTGCAGCATGTCTTCCTACTCAGTGAGCCCGACCCCGGCGTCCCTCCCCCCTCCCGTGGGGGCCGGCGATCCCCCAGGGCCCGCCCAGCCCGACGAGGGGTCTCGGGGAAAGGGATCTGGGCCACGCCATCGGTGGGGTGGGATACCCACACCCCAACTCACAGACAAATGGTGCAAAGCCCCCCTCTGGCGCCCACGTGCCCCCCACTGGTCAGTTACCCAGGCAGGGGGCGTCCCTGCCCTCTAGGGGCCTCAGCTCCCCCCTTACCACGATGAGGAGGGTCCTGCGGAGCCATGAGGTCTCATAGGGTCTGCCGATGAGGACACGCCCCTTTCTCTCGGCGCGAGGGTGGGGTGGGGGGTGTCCCTGGGGTCTGGGGCCAGGACAGGAGGGGCTCCTGGGGGCCGTGAGGGCTCCGCCCGCCCTGCTTCCCCTCCCCCAGTCCCTCCTAATCAGCGCCTTCTGCAGCGACGGAGCTGACCCGGCTGCAGGAGGAAAACGATGCCTTGAAAGAGGAGGTGAAGGAGCTGCGGGCCCCAGGGTGAGCGGGGCCGGGGGGCGCCCGGGTCCAGCAGCCCTCGGCCCGCAGGCCTCAGCCACAGCGGGCCCCGGCACGCGGCGCAGAGGGGAGGGGCTCCTGCAGGCCAGCTCCCCAGAGCAGATGCGACCTCCCCCTGGTCTGCAAGCACAGGTCCTAGAAGCGGAGCTGGGCCCCAGCACCCACGGCAGCTCTGATGCCTGGGCTCCACGGGCACATCGGTGTGAGCCGACCACGGTGGTCTTTCCTGGTCCCCTGGGTCCCCAGGAGGGCGCCCTGGCCTTTCTGATCGCCTCTGGGACCCTGCCCTCCCTTACCCACCCTGTCCTTGCCTCCCCTCTCGAGACAGGGCCAAGCCCCAGTTCAGGGAGGGTGCCCCAGGACCCCTGTCACCCCTGCTGTTCCCCTCCCTGGGCACCCGGAGGGCCGTCACTGAGAAGCCACTGGAAGGCCATGCGGAGGTGGAGGACGGCCACGCAGGTGCAGGTCCACGGGGAGGAGGGGCTGCTGGGGGGCGGGGGAGGCCAAGAGGCTGGAGCCCCAGGACCGGGGAGCCCTCTGCGCTGAGCTGGCCCCCCCGAGCGCCTCCCGACCGTCCCGCCCTCTGCCTCTCCTCCCACAGAAAGGCCGCTGGGGTGCGGGACGTCTCCAGGAGCCGCCATCTCCCCGGGTGCCAACCCGCCTGAGCGCCGGGCCCTGGACGTGGTGAGGGGGAGGGACTCAGAGCCCCGCCCCTTCCTCTCCCCGGGCAGCCACCAGCCGCCAGCTCTGCTATGTGCCACGCACATGGCCCCTGCCAAGCAGGGACCCCTGAGCTCCCGGTGACATGGGTGGAGGCGAGGCTCAGAGCGGGTGGGTGACCTGCCCAAGGTCGCACAGAGAAAAGGGCAGAGGGCAGCAGCCAACCCCACCCAGGCTGACCCATCCACCCTGTGCAGAGCCCCCAGCACATCTCCAACCAGCTACACGGGACCATCGCCGTGGTGCGGCCAGGGTCCCGAGCCTGCTCCGCCAACCGGGGCTCCGTCAATGGGACGTCCCCACTGCCGCCCCCCAGGAGCAGCCCCACAAGCCCGCCTGGAGAGCACAGCCTCCCTCCGGACAGGTGAGGCCCAGCCCACCGCCGCCACCGGGAGCAGCCTCAGTCGGGTACCCAGTCTCCTACTCTGGTGCCACCTTTGGGGAAGGGGCCAGTAGCCCAGGGGAGTCCCTCCCATTATCCCTCCAGGAGCCCCACCCTTCCCTGGCTTGGCCTTCCCAGCTACCCTGCCCGTAGCACAGTTCACACGTGGCCATCTCCTGAATGGCCAGAGCGGGACGGGGGGACATGGGGGTTGGAGATGGGGACCGAGAACCCCCGCAGAAGAGCCCACGCAAAGGCTCTCACCGTGGTCTGAGACCACTCTCAGCGTCTGAGAGGAGACTGGGGGCGGGGCTGCAGTGGGCCCACGGGTGGGCTGGGCGCTCCAGGGGACCCCGGGCAGGCAGCCGACGCCCAGAAGAGGGAGAGGCCTTGGAGGCCAGGTCCCTCCTCAGAGCCCCCAGGCCCCAGGTCAGCTCTGCCCCGGGGGCCCGGGCGTTCCCCTCCCCACTACCCACCGTGTCACCTGGGCACTCGCCTCGCCCCCCCGGGCCCCCGGTCCTCCCTGGGAAACGGGGGTGACCGTGGGCCGTGGTCAGCAGGCTCCTCCTCGCCCACAGCTTCCTGCAGGCCTCTCTGCCCTCTGCCAAGCCCTGCGAGTCCCCGAAGAGCTCCCTCCAGGCTGACCGCCTCTGCCACCTGAACCGCCACCTGGCCCTGCCCCGTGGGAGCCCTCGCAGCGGCCCCCAGGCCCCCGCCACAGCCCCCAGTGGCCCCCAGCCCCCGGGCCTCAAGGCCGGGGAGGCGGAGGCCTGGGAGGAGCCCGCGGGTCTGCTGGGCCTGCCAGGCGCCCTGGCGGGCGTGCGGGACCCGCGGCTGGAGGGAGCGCTGCACCTGCTCCTGGCCCAGCAGCTGTGGGCGCGGGGGCGGGCGGGCGGTGCCGGGCTGAGGGGCCCACCGGTGCCGGGGCAGGCGCCACCCTCCCCGCCAGCTGGCCCCCACTCCAAGGGTCCTGGGGGCGGGGCGGCCGGGGCAGCCCTGCCCAGAGGGCAGCACCCACAGCCCGCAGGCCCAGGCAGTCCCGGGGCAAAGGAGGCCTCAGCCACACAGGACTACGTCCCAGACAAGCCCCTGGACCTCTCGGAGCGGGGCCGGGGCCGGGACGGCGCCCCCAAGCCTGCCAGCCAGCCAGGGTCACTCAGCCCCCCAGGCGCCCACACGCCCAGCCCCAGGCCACCCCAGGGAGTGGAGCCCTCTGCACAGTCTGGGGTCCAGGGACTCAGTGACTGCACCAAGGGGGCCAAAGAGCCAGAGGCAGAAGAGCCTCCAGCTTCTCCGGTAAGGGGCCAAGCGCTGCTCCGGCCTCCGCGCCGCACCCGGCGGCCCTGGGCGCTCCCCTCCCTCTGCTCCACCGGCCGGTCCCCGGGGGAGCCTGGCCGCCTGGGTCACACCACGCGGGGCACAGCTGACCCTCCAGCCCCAGCCAGCGTCCCTCAGGCTGTGCCCCAAAGCCGGGCGAGGGCAGGGAAGCTGCCTCATGGGAACTCAAGTCACTTACTCGCTTCCCCCCAGGAACCCTCACATTCTCTCCCAGGCCCCAGCCTGCCCTCTCCAAGTGGGCCAGGGCATGAGGACAGAGGGGGGCCAAAACCGCCCCCCTACCCGCAAAGGCCTGATGGACACGGCCACCCGGGTGAGGGTGAGTACCGGCGTCATGAGAACGCAGGAAGTGGTGCCACAGCGGGGCGGGAGGTGCGGTGGTCAGCATCAGCTGGGGGCCCCTATCCCAGGACCTGGCTCAGCGCCCTGGGCCCGACCAACCAAACCCTGGGTCTCGGACTTGCTTCCCCCCACCTACAGACACAGAAAGCAGTTGGGGGCTCAGGGAGGGCATGTTTCTCACCACAGGCAGTGAAGGGAGAGCATCTTAACAATTAGGGCTTCCGGGCAGGTAGGGAGTTCACCATCACCCAGCAACCAAGCCAGGGGACACCCCAGACGCTGGGGTCATTGTACGGGTGCTGGAGACACTGGGCCTGGATTCGACCCCAGGGCAGGTTCCTCGGTCCCTCTGTGCCTCGGTTTCCTCATCTGAAGAGTTGTGGCCACTGGTCCTAGTACGGCAGGTTAGAGGCCTGTGCTTCCACTAGACTCCCAGGCCACCAGCCTGGCCTGACCCACACCCTGCATCCTGCAGAGCTCAGCAAAGCCCAAGGACAGCGGCCGGAGTCGGATGAGCTAGACAAGCCAGACACCTCGGACGGCGAGGTGGGTGCCCGGCCACACAGCGGGTTGGGGCGGGGGCACCAGGGCTGCCCCAGGCTTCGGGGAGGGTCCTCAGCATGACCACACCCCCACCCCATCAGGTGGGCCTGAGCACCGAGGCGGGGGCCACGAAGAGCTTGCCAGCCGAGGGACCCAGGGGTTTCTGTGCCACGGAGCGTGGGCGGGGCCCACAGAAGAGGAAGCGGGCCTCAGACCAGTGGAGCAAAGGTGGGCGGCCAGGGCTGGGCGGGGCAGCCACAGCACTGATGCCCCCACCCCACCTTTCTGGCTACTTGGAGCCCAGCAGCCAGCCCTGGAGCCTCTCCCAGAGCAGCCCCGTGACAGAGACCCGGGTCAGGCCTGCGTGAACCCTGACCACACTTCTCCTCGCGGGCTGGCCCTTTCACCCCCAGCCTGCTTCCCTCTGGAAAGGGGGCGATACCAGGGCTAGCGTGAGATTCCAGGGACACAGCCGAGGATGGTCGTATCGTCTTCGTTGTCACGGGGGAGAAGGGGCGTCCTGGGCCACGAGCAGCCCCCAGGCCTGGTGGTCCTGAACCCCTCCCCCTCTCCCAGTCGCACCGGGATGGGGTGGGCACTCCTGGACCCTCCTGTGCACCTTCCAAAAGGAGCGGCAGCAGAGGGTGCTACCCCAGGGTGTGGGTGTGTTTGTTCCCTCTGGGGGTTCGGGGGCCGCTCACGTGCTCGCCAAGGGTGGTACCTCTGGGCTTCCCCCACCCCCGCTCCAGCCTCGGGTATCAGGACATCCTCCCACTTCCTGCTCCGGCCACAGTGGCAGCTCAGGCCAGGCCTCCGGGCGCCCACAAGAGCCTTAGAATGCCTGAGCTAACTGATACTGCATGCCGCCTGGTGTTTGTCCAAGCAGGCCTGCGTCGCAGGCTGGGCTGTGGCCGCCACAATGCGCCGTTGTTGCCGGGAAGGTGACCGCAGCCTGCGTTTGCCGGGTGAGCGGTGGAGGAGGCCAGCCCGCCTGTGTGATCTCGTGGCACATCCCACTGGGCATTTTTGGAAGCTGCCTTGGTGGGCGTGGTCTGAAGGGGTGCGCCGTGTCCGCCCCCACCCTCCACACTGAGTCAAGCCCACTCCCACCCTCAGACGCCCACCCGGGCCAGGGCAGGGCCTCCCCAGCAGGCACCCACGCCCCCCAACACCCACAGGGGTGATCAGTGAGAACAGGACCCTTGCCCAGCTTGTGCCACATGGCTCAGCGCCAGGGGCAGCGCCCTTGTATCTTGTGCGCATGGAGCAGTTCAAGACAGCGTCCAGTCGCTACTGCCTTTGGGCCCCATGACCCAGCCCAGTGATGAATCATCACTGTTTCACAGATGCGGAAACTGAGGCTCAGAGATGGGGTAACTTGCCCAGGGTTACGGAGCTGGTACATGGGGTCAGGATTCCAACCTGATCCGTCTGACCTAGAACCTAGAGCTGGTTCAGGATCAGAGATGGGCCTGAAGCCCAGCATCTCGGCAGGTCCCACCTGGAAGGGTCTCAAAGACCAGATGCCCCTTCTCTGTGGGCGCAGAGGCAGGCCCACGGAAGCACCTAGCCCATGTCTTGGGGATTCTGAGAGAATTTCCCCGTGAGCTCAGCTTATCCAGAATGTCCCAGACCTTCTGCAAGGTGGCAAGGGAGGCATCGGGGCCAGGCCGATTCTAGGATCACACACCTGGGGAGAGGGTCTGTGCTTCCACCAAATTCCCAAGGCTCACCCTCCAATCGGGCCACCCTGCCCCGGTGTCCATTGCTGTTGCAAACAAGTGTGGGCTCTTGAGTTCCCAGAAACTGCCCACGAGGCCCTGGGTGAGAGCCCAGTGTTGCTGCAAAAGAGGACACACAAGGCCACTACTGCGCCTCCTGGTCTAACCTCGGTCCACTTCCCACAGCCTCGAAGAAGCCGTCCTGAGGAATAAGGAACCTAGGGGAGCCAGGAGCCCGAGGGACCCCAAGGACGGCAGCCCCTCACCCAGCACCAGCAGCTAGGAAGAGAGCCAGGGGCACCCCAGCCTGCCCAGCCGTGCTCCCCACCCGACTGCCCGCGGCCAGGACAGCCCACGCCGCCAGCCAGCAGACGGCCCCAGCAGCAGCGTAGTGGACTGGGTCCTGGCCCACATCCAAAGGGGTTGGGAAGGCCAAGAAGGCTGGTCTTCTGAACCCCTCCATCTCAGAAATGATCTTGCATGCCACCCTCAGCCCAGCATCTGCTCCCTTGCAGGGAGTAGGGGCCTGGGAGGCCAGGGCGGCTCAAGATCCAGCCCAGCCCCGCCCCCACCCCTGCTGTGCACAGGCAGCCCTTCCTGGACAGTGCCCCCTCCTCCCACCAACTCCACTAGCATCCTGGACCCAAGGGGCTGCGAGCCTGGCGGCCCATTCCTGACGGGGCATGGAGCTCTGAGCAGTGGTCTCGGGCGCCCCCTCGTGGAGTCCCACAAACGGGTGCTGGGCAGTGAGGGCGCAGGAAAGCTGATGGCAGCACCTGGAGTGGGGAGCGGGGGCGCCGGTCCCAGGGCACCCGGAGAATAAAGTGTAATGAAGGATGGCGTGTGCAGCTGGCAGGGTCGGGTGTCATCTGGGCTTCCACCTGCCTGGGCAGGTTACGCAAGAGGCTCTTGAATGTGCCCAGGGATGGGAAGTCACTCCCCTTCTGAAGGGCAGGATCAAAACCAGCCCCATTCAGAGCATTACAGGGACCAGGGCAACCTCTGGGGAGGGCTGTGGGAACACAACAGGGGATGTCCGCCAGGCCCCACACAGAGCCCCTCCACACTCTGGGTCCCTGGTCCACTGGCCTGTGAGCCATCTGCACCACCACAGGGCACACAGGGCAGCTCACCCAGGTTTCCACCCGACACAGAACCTGGAAGAAGACCACGCCCACTTCCCCCGCCCCCACCGTGTCCCTGCAGCACCACCAAAGTTTAACATAATGCCAACTGGCAGAGGAGAAAAGTCTACAGGGCCCAGCTCCATTATCGGGCAGCAGACAGCATGGTTTTGGAGCTGAGGGCCAATAACCTAATAACAGCCCTCCATCGCTTCATCCTCCCACCGCCCCTTTTCATTTCCCTCATCTGACATCCGCTTAACTATTAGCTACCAGTTTGGCAGCCCGCCCCCGCCCCAACCTGCCAGGGTCCTCCTACTGGTAACAGCTGGCCAGCAGGGCCAGGCCCTGGGGCCCTGATCCACGATGATGATACTGGCCTCCCGCTCGCTAGGAGGCGCTCTGCAGGCCAGGGCTGTGTCTGCCCCGTCCCCCAACACCCGCACGGAGGAGAGAAATGCGTGTGCCGTGTATGGTTCCACGCAGGAGCATTCACAGCTGCGTGGGCAAACCACACGGCAAGAGCCGGTCTCCAGCCGCCGGGAAGCCCCAGCGCTGGTGACAGCCCCGGGCTGAGCCCACTCAACCCTGACCATACCCTGAGGTGGAAATCAGTGTCCCCCACCTGAAGGATAAGTAAGCCCACAGGCACACAGCTGGACAGAGCAGGCCAGTGGCGCAGAGGTGGCTGCAGGACCCTGCCCCCCAAGACACAGGTGGGCTCCTGGGGGCTCCAGAAGGCAGCACCTGAGCATGAAGCCACCGGCCCAGAACTTGGGGGTCCTGGTACAGAAGAGGAAACAGACCTGGCACCCCCCAGACTCAAGGTCGCTTTGCTGCTGACAGCCGTGCAGGACTCTGTCTGGGGCTGAAGGCCCAGCACCGCCCTCCTGCCTGCCACCCGAGGCAGGTGCCTTCTCCCCTCGGACTCGCGGTGTCGTCTTCAGTCACTGGGGGAGGCCAGGGGGCACCGCTGGCCATTCCTGGGGCTCCCGGCGGGTGGTACAGCTCCAGCGCCCGCACGTCAGACCCCCGCCCCCGCAAAGACACACACCCCAAGAGCGGAGGTGCGCTGGAGCCTAAGACGAGGCTTTAAGAACGCTGACCAAGAACGCCACAGCCCAGCAAGTGGAACAGAGCACTGGAGCCCCGGGGCCGCGACTTCCGAGTCAGGGACTCGAACCCGCGGCACCTCCACCGCTCGCCCAGAGCCAGGCCTCTCCCGGCTCCCCCTTGGCCGCCTTGGAACCCTCTCTAGGACCCAAGGGAGCCGCTCCCCCCCC